GTGTGATGACTGGTGATCGACATTCGCGCCGTCAGTTGCTGCAATTTCATCATGTGTATTGGATGTTGCTGTGATGATTGCTCGACCATCTGTCCCACCTCCCCTGGCGTTGGGAACAGTATTCACCTGTTTGCTTCCAGCGTGGCTAATTACTCCGACTAGGCGAAGTCCCAAAACCGAATATAAGGAGAGGTCGTTGTACTTGTTAATGGGCCGATGGGCTCTAGAAGGAATCCGAAACGCCAGGCGAATAAACCTCTTGTCCCAGCGATTGTGCCTCCTTCTTCACGACTGCTTCCTGGGACTCGTCCTTACGCTTAAATTACACAGAGCCTACCTCGACCGTCCAACCGACGCGAACCAAGCGGACTTCTACCAGTCTCGCCGTTTTGCGCGGCAGTCGTTGCGAGAAATGCAGGACACCTGCACGGCCGACGAGATCCAGGCATACGCTGAGCGCAAAGAATCGAAGAACTTTTCCGCTGCGATCAAGGCTATCTATGGTCCATCAACCAAAGGAAATGCACAGCTTCGCAGTTTAGATTGATCAACGCTTCTCAGGGGAAGTCGCAGATTCTGGAGCGCTGGGCCGAGCACTTCAGAAACATCCTCAATCGCCCCTCCACAATATCCGATGCCGCCATGCACTGCCTCCCCCAAGTGGAAATCAACGTCCCCCTAGGTCTCCCGCCCGCAAATCTCCCACAAACTCTCCGTGCTGTGCAACAACTCTCCAGCGGCAAAGCACCATGCTCCGGTGCAATCCCAACTGAAACCTACAAGCACGCCGGCCTCCACCTGATTGACCAACTTACAACACCAGTTCAGGAGATGTGGTGCATCGAACAAGTCCTTCAGGATCTCAGGGATGCAACCATCACCCATCTTTACAAGCAGAAAGGGAACCGCTAATTCTGTGGCAACCACAAAGGAATCTCGCTGCTCAAAATCGCCGAAAAAATCTTTGCCTGCATCATCCTAAATCATCTTAACAGACACCCAGAACAAGGAGTCCCGCCGGAAAGCCAAGGCGGTTTCCGACGACACTGGGGATCACTGACATGGTGTTTGGCGCTTGCCAGCTTCAGGAGAAGTGCCAGGAGATGCGAATCCAACTCTACACCACCTCAGCGGACTTGACGAAAACCGTCGATACGGTGAATCTCAAGGGACTGTGGAAAATCATGCAGAAGTTTGGCTGTCCCGAACGATTCACGCACATGGTACGTCCGCTCCACGACGGGATGTTGGCGCGCGTCACGGACAACGGCGCTATCTCCGAGGCAGCCGCAGTGGCCAATGGAATGAAACAGGGCTGTGCACTCGTTCCCACCCTTTTTAGTCTCATATTCTCTGTCATGCTGATGGACACCTATCGTGATGAGTGGCTCGGGACACGCATCGACCACAGGACCGATGGGCACCTTCTCGATAACCGGCAAATGAAGGCTCCGACGCCTCTCTCCACAGCTAATGTCCATGATCTGCTCATTGCCAACGTCTGCGCACTCAATAATACGACCAAAGAAGGCACGCAACGAAGCATGGACTTCCTCGCCGCCGGGTGTGCCTACTTCGGATTGACCATCAGTACGAACAAAATGGTGGTCATGCAAATACATCACCCAACATGCAGCACTTCACTCCTCCTCGAATCACTGTGGACGGCTACAAACTCAAAATCGTAGAAAATTTCGCTCATTTCGGAATCACACTTTCCGACAGCATCAGAATCAACGACGGGACTGCCCACCGAATCTCCAAAGCCAGTCAAGCCTTCTGACAGCTGCAGAAATCCGTGTGAGATCGTCATGGCCCCCAACTGAATACCAAACTGAAGATGTGAAATGCCGTCGTCCTGACGATACTTCTTTACGGGGTGGAGACTTGGACCGTCTATTCCAGCCGTGCAGGGATTCTCGACCACTTCCATCTCAATTGCCTTCGCAGAATACGAGAATTGAGATGGCAGAACAGGATCTCCGATACGGAAGTCCTAGAACGGACCGGCATACTTTGCATTCACGTCATGTTGCAGCAACTACAATTACTTTGGAGCAATCATCGTGTGGGTTTGGAAGACACACGACTACCGAAACAACCGTTTTATGGTGATGTCACCACAGGTACTCGTCGACAAGGAGAATAAAGACGGCGCTAAAGGGACGCTTGAAGGAACTATTTGAAACGTCTGAAGATCGATCCGGCGACCTGGGAGGACCTCGCCCAGAACAGACCGGTATGGAGAACAGAAATGAAGACCGACGTCGCCATCTACGAAGCAAATACAGTCGCCACCGCCAAAATCACAAGAGCCTCGCCTGTGCTGACAGCGAGCATTCAACGCACGAGTCGGCCTCGTTGGACACTTTCGGACCCAATGCGCTATCAACCCGACAAGATCTACATCTTCTCCCATTTTCGCCCCTGCCTCAAACTCTGCTCCGACCGTCACTCTCGTCATCGCCAATCACAATGTCGCTGTCCCGCCGCCGCCGCCACCTACCCCAACCCCTGCATCACCCTCGGCTACCAGCACCACCGCCACCACCAC